TCTCTCTCTCTCTCTCTCTCTCTCTCTCTCTCTCTCTCTCTCTCTCAAATAAATAAAAAAAAACTAAAAAAGAAAAAAAAGAAAGAGACTAGGCTGGGAATATACTTTCCTTCTGAAGGAAATTCTGACCCACGCTGCATGACTGAACCTTGAGGACGTGATGATGAGTGAAATTAGCCGCTCCCAGGACGGGTTCCGTGGGGCTTTGCTTTCAGGAGACACTGCTATAGTTCAAGCCACAGAGCGCGGGATAGGGCAGGCGACTGCCAGGCACAGGGAGGAGGGCAGGAGACAGCACTGAATGGGGACAGAGCTGCAGTTCTGCAGTGAGCGAGCCCTGAGATGCAACGAGATGCAACTGCAGGTCGTGAGTGTGGTCAGTCCCACTTGGCTGTGTCCCTAGGGTGGCTGGGTTGTACATCTGCCTCATGTGAACTTGGCCACAATTAAAAAGTAATGAGTGGGATGGAAGGTTGTGCTGTAAGAGTCCCAGGCAGCTGTGACTGCAGAGTCTGTGTGAGTGTGCCCCGGCTGTGTCGCTTGTGCATAGGATGCAGCCACAGGGCACAGAGGCATCCCCCAGCGTGGACTCAGAGGACCTACGTGGCACAGTTTCCCATCAGGACTGGAATCAGCACATAGAAATGTCACACTCCTCCCATGGACTCCTAGCTGTCCACAAAAGGAAATGCTGGCAAGGCCAAGAAGGAGCCCTTGATGCACACCGGGCAGTGGCTGCCGTCCGCCATCCATGTCTTGACCACCACGCAGTAGAACAGCAAAGACTGCTGGGACGACAGCCAAAGAGCCCGAGGCCCTGAGACTCACCAGCTCACTTCCAAAAACTTCCTGCATTACAAAGAAGAAACAGAAACCATACACAGAGTCCAGAAAACATCAACAGTGGGCACAAGACACAGCAAACACCAAGGGCTGGGCCAAGATGCCAGCCGAGAACGGAGGGCGCACCAGGCCAGAGGGCAAGGGCAGAGCGCTGGGTGCTCAAGGAAATGAGGCGTAAGGAGACGCAAGCTTGCACCTCAAAGCAATGAGACCACTATCTCTACCACTGGCCCCACACTTATTATGGGGCGAAATGTCCTCAGTGGCAAAGCACACGCTGCCCTGGCCTGCGGGGACCCTGTGCACGCCAGAGGCATCCATCCCTCCCCACTGAGGGGCTGGCCAGGAACTGTGCCCAGGATGGTCCCTGTGGCCACAAAAGGGCCACCTTCAACATAGGATGTGTGGTTTCTCCTGACTGTAAGTTGCTTTGGGGCCACTGCAAAGTGGGGTTGCCTGTGTGACACTGCAGCACACCCACAGGACAGCACATACCGCCTCGGGGCGGGAGGATGCAGAATCCCAAGGGCCTCATGCACCCTGGGAGACTATGGTGGTATCTGCAAGGGTTTGCAGGAGAAGCGAGCGCCCTGAGAGCGCCCCTGCCCACCATACAAGGAATGGGGACGCGTCCTCTCCTGTCCTCGGAAGGGGACCTGCCCTTGCGAGCAGAACCTGAGTGCTGAGCACTTCTCGAGGGAAGAAGGAAGCAGAGCTGAGGCAGAGGATGGCCAGGCCCACCGCCAGCCTCTCCTTGGCTGTCCTCACGGGGCCACACTGAAT